ACACACACACACATATATATATATATATATATATATATGGTATCTATTTATATATATATATACCATATACATATATATATACATATACATATACATATTATGTATAGGTATATTTACATATTTGCCTATTTACGTGGGTTTTTGTAGCAGGTGTTTATTTTTCACCTGTGGTTTGCTAAGATACATTTTTTTACTTTCCTCTATTCAACAGCTTTTAGATCGAGTACAGCGACTACGGGAGGTGTGTTTGTTATTGCTGGGTTCGTTTTGGTTCTATGTGTGTTCCCCATTGTACCTCTTTACTTCTAGTTGACACTAGATGCGCTGTGCAAACTGATATTTTTGGGTAATGAATAGGTGTGCATCTTGATAGTTTTATTACGTATACTTTCGGATATCGTTTTTACTATTTAATTTAGGTATCAATTTCTATCGTCGCATTTTTCATATATTTTTCATATCGTTTCGCAATTGTAGCTGGATATCAAGCACCGCACGGATCCTTCGGAGCTAGATTCCGAATCAGATTTCACCACCTCTAGCATACTGACTGCTAGGTTGGGTGGGACACTCTCTCTATCTCCCGAACCCAAGTCCTGTGCTTCCGACCACAACCCACCCTCGAGACCGACCGCTTCCACCGATACCCCACTCTCCAAATTAACCGGTCAAGGCATTAAAATACCTGCACACTCTGGTGTCGCCCAGCTACCAGCCCATTCCCAGCCGCAGCCCAGAATGAAGTCAGCTCCATTCATCTACAACGGACGCTGTGTGCATGGCTCGGCCTCGGCGACATCTTCACCCACTATTGGGCGGTCTGCGCCTTCGTCGTTGCTAAGTGGACGTTCTTCAGCGAGTTCACCTCTAATCGGGCGATGCCGCACGAGCTCGAGTTTACCTGCGTTGAAGAAGAGATCTAATCTCTCACCCTGCATCACAAACAATGCGGAAGACCTGGAGCATCGCGCAAGGTTAGCAGTCTCACGCATCTGCATTATTGTCAATGGTCGGTGCAATGCTAGCCAACTGCTTGTTTGTTTGGTTACTGTTTTCGGTTTTATTTGGGTATTTGCCGCTGTTTGTAGTTGTTTTACAGTTTAGTGACTCAATATCTATGACGATGTGCGAGCACTTCCACCGATTAAAAAACGTATACTAACTGTATCGTGTATCGTGCTTAGATTTGGCTTGTCTGTTTCCTTGCTGCGAGAGAATCACAAAAGAAGCAGTTATGCAAGCTGTTGCGCGTGAAGCATACGCAACTGAGTAAAAGCTTCGTTTGTGTTCCGTTCTCCATCCCAGGGTGGACCATGCTACGGAAGAAAGCTATACATCTAATCTCTCTGCCACGAGCAAGAAACAGAAGAAATGCACAAGCGAAGATATATGTAATGGGTTATCGGGACATAAGGTGCCCGATGAGAGCTGCGCGGCTATAAGCACAGTCTCTTTGGGCGGATTACCAAATATACAACCGCTGAGAAACATTCCAAGCTATGAAGGCTAGAAACTGTGAGATAAACCCAGCGAGCTTTTTGGAATCACATATCCTCACTCAGTGTTCGTCAGAGTTGGAGCGTAATATGAATCTTGTGGATGGAATAGATAGCGTGTCTTTTCCTAACTTGGTTTCCAGAATTTTTCCAATGTGAGGAAAATAATTACACGAGTGTGGAATTTATTAGGCTATTATACAAAGCAGTATATATATATAAGTATATTTATAGGTATATATATATATATGTATACATATATATATATATGAATATATATTTATATATATATATATATATATAATAAATGTGTGTGTGTATGTATCTAACACACAAACACATACACACATACATACATATATATATATTTATAAATATATATATATTCAAATATATATCTATATATAATATATATATATATATATATATATTTATATTTATATATACATATATCTATATATTGATATATCTATATATATTTACATATATATATATATATATATATATAATATATATATATACAATATATATCTATACAAATATATATCTATATATAATATATATATATATATATTTATATTTATATTATAATATATATATATATTTATATTTATATTTATATATACATATATCTATATATTGATATATATATATA